GCCTCCTGTTTGGGCCGAGACTATGACAAAACAGTGAGAACATTAATTTCTGTGTATGACTTCCTTTTTAACGAGCAGTCCAATCTAGTCGAAATGCTGAAAAGTTGCTAGTTAGTCAAAACAGCAGATCTGCTTGTAGCTTGCTGTTGAAATAAGGAGGAACTAGTTTTGGCATTTGAATTGTTTCTCAGTGGCATTATTTAGAGAAATCATCTGTCTATCTTTTTGTAATGTAGACTATAAGCTTATGGGTAAGTACACAAGGGGTAAGTGTGAAGAGAAATACATTTTTCCAGTACTGGAGTGAGGGAAATGAGCAGCCATGTGCACAGGAGAACTTGGATTTAAAGAAGAGAGCAAATTAGGAGAATTTTTTTTTTAGTAGAAGAAGTGGTAATTTATGCAGCAGTAAGGGGAAAGAAAATCCTGACAAGTACTGTAAAGGCTAATGCTTTAATCATGTTAATAAGAAGTTAAATGAAGAATAGTCCAATCAAAGTTGTGATGACTTTACCTCTGTGACAAAGAAATTCTTTGTCTAGAAATTGTTATTTTTGAAACATCTCTGAAGTTCAAATGTGTGTATGTGTGTATATATATATGTATAAAAAATATAAGTCACTTAAAGTGGAGTCTGATCCATTCCACTGATCTTGAACTTGCAGTCCCTAAAATCTGTCCTGTAGAGGTGCTGACATTGGAGTAACATTTTGTCTGTGGCGATATGCTTGATTTTCTTAATTATTTTTTAATTTTTTTTTTGCTCCATAGAACAAGTACTCAATCACATAGTGAAAACTACTGATCTTCACTTAGGATTTGTGCTACTTATACATTTGTTCTGGTAAAGCATTAACTTAATTTCAAATCGATGAGTTTATATGATGGGTTATGCTAAGCCTGTGTTTACATGTCTGCTTTTTAAATAAGGTTGCTAGAGTTTGTATTGATGAAGAAAATAATATATTGTAAATGAGGGTATTAAATTAAAAATACTAGATTTCACCCCCAAACCCATGCACACACTTCCAATGGCTCTGTGTTGCTTTTCTGGTTTGTGGATAGTATGTGCTTGTGGCCTCTTTCTGTGAGACAGATTGCTCCAGTTTAAGATTGTAATAAATTCTTTTGCTCTTAATGCCTGTTGACTCTCTATGTAAATGTGCCTTAAGTGAATGGGATCTTTTAAATCACTTCTGAGAACAAGACTTGTGTTTTTGAAATTGTGTAATTCTGAGGAATCATTCATTGCTCTTTTATTGAGAGCTGCTTGTTAGAAGATGTTTGGTTGATACGGGGTTTAGAAGCTGGTGGTAGCCTGTATTTAATGAGCTAGATGGTACATAAGAGTCCTTGGTCAATTCTAAATCTGTCCCTCATCTGCCTGTTAAAACTTCGTGGTGTTTTTGTTTTGTTTTGTTTTTTGGTGTGGGAGAGTATAAGAATTTCCATAGTGGAAGAGCTGGCTGTGGTATCTGTAATGTTGGCTGGAAAAGGGGCTCTTGGGGCTCATCTGTCCAGGCTCCTGCTCAGAGCAAGATTACAATAACACTTGTTTGCCAGCTGTGGCTTTGTCTACTTAGTCTTGAAAACCTCTGAGAACAGAGACTATCACCTCTCTGAGTATCACACCAAACCACCTTGCAGATGCTTTTTCTAATGTCCAGTCTGAACTTCCCAAGCCATTACTTGTGCTTGTTACCTCTTGTTTTGTGGTTAGTCAATACTGAGAACAATTTGCCTCCGCTGTTTTTGTAATGCGCCTTCAGTTGCTATTAGGTTATCTGTAGGCTGCCTCTTGGTCAGACTAAACAAACCAAGCTCCATCACCTGCTTCTCAAACATCATCCTCAAGGCTCCAGGCCATTTTGGTGACTCTTTCCAGGTTCTCAAATTCCTTTTTGACCTGGGTGGGGCTTGAAACAGGACACAGTATTTGAGCTGCAATCTCACCAGCATTGAGTTTCCTTTGATTGCACTCCTTTTGACTTTCCCTGTTTGCAGTGAGAGGAGACTCTTGGCTCATATTCAACTTGGCAACCCACGTGATCCCCACGTCTGTTCAACTGGTCTGTTCCCAGGCTTCACTGAAGCACCTCAGGAGCAGAATTTTGTACTTCATGAGGTTCCTGTTTGCTTATTCTTCAAGTTTATCAAGGTGCATCTGAGTTGAATCTGTAGTTGGAGAGTCAGTCGCTCTTGTTTAGTATCATCCACAAATTTTCTGACGATTCATTTTGTCTCATCACTCAGGTTGTTGATGAAGGAGGTAAAGCTTGAAAATGAGGCTGGTGGTCCTAAAACTAGAATATGATCAACAGAGAAACTAAACAATGTTAATTCATTTTTCAAAGCTGGTCACCTGATTCCTGAACATCTGGGATTCAACAACAGGTTTAAAAGCCAGAGAAGCTTTTTTCCCACTTGAAAACCATGATGGTTCTAGATTCAGTATGTGGCTGTTTCTGTGAGAAGAGCTTTTTGGGCTGAGGGGTCATGGTAATCACTTTTAGTGTTATACGCTAATTTCATTTTCATATCCTCAGAATAATGGAGTATGAGTAACAGCAGCAAGAAATAACCAGTACATTGCAACACACACACTGCGCTTATCTGATCAATGTCTTAGGCACAGATTTTGTTTAGATCTCTTCTTTGATTTTGATACTTTAAGAATAAAAATCCTTTCATCTAATTGTTTTAGACCTCTGATGAAAAGAACAAAGAGCTGAACAAATACATTTTAGTATCCTGGAGGCAGATTGGTGAAAATAAAGATTTGCCGTCATAGTTCAGGCAGAAGAAAGAAGTGTTGGTGAAAATCATTAGGAGTGAAGTTTCTTCTGCTTTTCTTTGTAAAATAAATTGAAATTTGCCATTGCTTTTGAGATTTTTTTTTTTTTATGAGATAACACTTTGAAGAGCTGTGTAGTGGCAGTGAGTTCAGTGCTTAGCAGTTGATGATGGAACATCAGCCAGCACTTTCTAGTTGGAAATTGGGTTATGGGATTTGTTTTGTTGTTCACTTCTGATGCTTACGTTGAAAAATAAATCTCAGTGATATGAGACAATGAAATAATGTGAATGAGCATAGATGAGAACAGGTAGATCTTGCACTTAACTGTCTGATTAGCTGGGCTAATTTTTAACGTAATAACATCAGGAAGTTTATAGCCTTTTGCAGCATGCATTCAGAAAATGTCTGTGGCAGAGCCAAGGCTTTGTGTTATGTTTTACTTCTCCTCCTCTTCCCTCCACCCTGTAATTTAGATTCAGGACATCTTGGCCTCGTGTTTTGGTTTTAACTAAACAGGGTGATTAAGGCTTTTTGTTTGAGAAACAAGACCAAATGTAAATTAATCCTAAAACTCTACTGGTATTGAGCAATTCCTTTGAATTTTATATCATTCTGTTGTCTCTTCACATGGCGAGAGAGAAATGTAGGTATGACGAATATCTTCCTTCCCTTCTTGCAGATTCCTGTAGATTACTGGCTTTTGGCAAAAACATTTTTTGAGGTGTGTTCCTGCATGAACACACAAAAACCTCAACCACTGTGTTTTGATCTTGATGAGCATCACTACTTGTTTTACTAGCTTTCCTGATGCTATCGTAGATTTCCATGTTTCAAAAGCAGGATTATGTAGGTCAGTCTTCTAAAAGGTACTTAAGTTGAAAAAATATATAGACATACTTGGTATTAAAACCAACAAAAAATGCTTACTTACTCTAGGGTAAGTACACTGAAATGATGGATAAGTCAGAAATTTGCTCTTTTATTTATTTTTTTTCCCCACCCCTCTGGATAAGCAGTAAAACATCATGAGATATGTCTTGATTGAATGGAAACTGGTGAGCAAGTGTGCTTAGTCTGTTTTTTGTCAAATAAAGCCAAGTATTTGGACTAGACTAAGCACTTACTGTTTTGTTTTGGTTTTTGTTCTTCTAATAATGATACAACTTCTGGGTATTTTTTGTGAGGTCAGGGTTTTGGAAAGCTAAAACTTGCATATTGAATTGGTGTTATTTAACAAAGAGTGTAATGGGCGATATGTTGCACATAGGTCTAACTCTGTTTCAAACAAGAGAGTGTTAGGCATCTTGTGTATTGGACATCTGGGTTGGCTTTGTCTGCTGCTTCTCTTCTGCTGTACCTCATTACAGATTTCTCTGCAGCTTTTCATGTTGAATTTTTTCTTTTGTTCTGTGTTTTTTGGCATGGAAACAGGAAAGGCTGGAGCTTCCTGCCCATGTAAACAATAAATCCCAGTAAACTCACTGGGACAGATTCTGTCTGCCTTCCGTGAATACCGTCTTTAAAATGAAGGAAACAGCATATGAGTGTTTTGGGTATTGAAATAGGATTGACTTCATAGTAGAGCTTTCTTCTTGAAGAAATATGTAGTAGAGACAGGGCACCTTTATTGTTTTACTACATTAAGTCCTTGAGGTACAGATCTGAAAAGTATTTTTGTGTGACTTTTAGTTGTGTTATATTATCAACTATGTAGAAGTTTCTGTAATGAACTAATACAGCTGTATCCCTGATTAAGTTTTAGCACAGAACTGTGGAGCTGTATATCCTGTTTTCTTTAAATACACTGCCTCTGTTTCAGAAAACATCTGGAATTTTCATTCTTCTTCCATTCTGTGAATTAAAGCTGATGATTTTTAGCCTATTTGTCAATTCTGTTATAATCTACGCTTCAGTTTAGTGTCTGTAGTCAGTCACAGATAATGCAACAGGGCTTGACTTGTAGGTAGATTAAGTTCTAACAGCTCCACATTAACAGTGTTGAAAAATATGTGTCTTAAAACATCTGGAACTGAAGTTACCTGTACGATGAAGCGGAGGATTGGTTTGTTTAGGGTTGCGCTTCTTCTCTTTGGACTGGAAAGAAAAACTGTACCTTTCTAATAACAACTTTAATGTAAAGAATGTAGCTATGTGTAGGCTGAGCCTGTCTTCATAAGCAGACTAACTTTTTGTTTTCTCTTCCCTCCAGCTGGTAAGCCTGCTGCTGATTGGAATTGCGGCATGGGGAATCGGCTTTGGCCTCATCTCTAGTTTCAGAGTTGTTGGTGTGGCAATTGCAGTAGGAATCTTCCTCTTCCTTATTGCCTTAGTCGGATTGATCGGTGCAGTGAAACATCACCAAGTATTGCTGTTCTTTGTATCCTTCTTATGCATTGCACAGATTGCAGCTTGGTTCAAGCCATGTAAACAACCCGCTCTGTCAGCTGAGACTGATGTGGAAGGTGCTTCAGAAACAGAACAGAAATTCACAGTCCTGGTTTGGTCAAGTGCAGTCTAAATTAAACTTCCTTTCTGTAAAACTTTAGTCCAGGTTCCTTTTTTTCCTCCGTTGTTTGTGCTCTGAAGACAGAAGTATTCACATCTCTTGTTAAAAATTAAAATATTTTAATTTTTTGAGAGCGTTTTATGGTGGGTCACTGTGTCACAGGTGCCTCTTACTGTGTGCCGAACCCTGCACCATGCTGGAGTATGTGAACTATTAATGTTTAATGGTAGAGAAAGGTAATACTTCCAGATAGCGAGCTAGTTGTAGCTGGCAGGGGAATGCATTGTGGGTAGTAATAGAGCTTGTCAAGAAGTACTTTCTTTCCAGACCTAGTCTTTAACTGCAAACTCAGACTAGAAATGAGCACAGGCCTTCTCAGTGGGCTTTGCTGCCCCTTTGTGCTTACTGACACTGTGTAAGCAGTCTGTGGTGCTGCCTTGCATAACAAAATTGATCTGTTTGGATGAGAAAAGAGATTCATCAGATAAAATTGTTATTATTCTGGTTGCGGTCTATGAATAAGTAGTGACCTCCACTTTACAAACAGTTTAAGGGCATGAGATAAGTATCTACGTGTGAACATGGCAGCCAGGTTGTGAAGGCAGTGCCTGACTTTCAAAACGTGATCTTTAGTGTCATTTGGTTTTTTTGGTTTATACTGCTTTCAGATGCGTTAGTCCAAAAGTATGTGAGGCTGTGTTACAAAAGCAGCTCTCACTTTTTTTTTAATCTAGGCTAGAGTTGTCTTTTGTAATTAATTACAAGACTATGTAATTGAAGAAAAAAAAATTCTGAATATGCAATACCCAGAAAAGTATTTTCTTTACTACTTTATTTAAGTGGAGTATCTTGAAATGACAACATGAGTCCCTAAAGCTGGAGAAACTGGCTGTAGATTTTTCTCTCTCAAAGCTCATTTTATTAACCTCTCTGCTCATGTTGTCTTGCTAGGCAAGAAGCACCTAACCCCGAAATACCAGCTAGTTTGGTAGTAGCCAAAAAGAGATAATATATGGTGATTGAGTTCTGGGAACATTATTTGGGTCATCTTTTCCACATCCGGTCAAAAGTTACTTCTATAGTTCTTTTGTTTTAAAGCGGCTGTTGTTACCCAGTGAAATAAGGGGATACCATTAGGCATATGTGTTATAAAAGCAAAATTAATTTGAGAGTATATCCTTAACTACTGTTTCCAGTACATGATTATTCTTTTGCTAGTCTTTATTGTCCAGTTTTCTGTCTCCTGCGCCTGTTTGGCACTAAACAAGGAACAGCAGGTAAGAAAAGTTTCCTGGCTTCTCAGTTAATCTGTAGCATAATACTATAAATATATATGTACATACACACATATATATAGTCTTCCACAAAATAGGTAGAGTGTGTTTTAAGAAAATCAGCATTTTCCTTTTAATTAAGGACTAGACCTTAGGCAGTGCGTGGCTTTGGTAGCTAGAAAGAAATACATCTGGGTCCTAAAATGACTTTCAACTGTCTTTTTTGTTTGGTTTTTTTCCTAAAATTGTCTTGGTTTTAAGCTTCCTGTCTAGGTTTATGGTCACAAATGTAGCAGCATGATATCTTGATTGTATCAAGTATTCAGCAATTCCAGATAAGCTGATGAAATCTACAGTAATCATAATCTAAAGATGATAAAGCCACTGAATTTTTCTTGTGTAACTGAAAAGGTCATAATTACATTAGGAACAGAGGTGACCCTTAAGTGTGAAAGTAAAACCAGCTTCCATGTGGTATGGAGACTACTTCTTACTGCATAAGAAGCAGGCAAGGGTACAGTGACTAAATAATCAGCTTTTACACGTGCCGTGGTTTAACCTGGCCGGCAGTTAAAACACCCACACAACTGTTCGCTTACCCCACCCCCCTCCCAGTGGGATGGGGGAGAGAATTGGAAATGAGAAGGGAAAAAAAAAAAAAAGTAAAAATCGTGGGTTGAGATAAAGACAGTTTAATAGGACAGAAAAGGAAGATAATAATAATAATGACAGTAAAAGAATATACAAAACAAGTGATGAGCAGCACAATTGCTCACCACCTGAAGCCGATGCTCGGCTAGTTCCCAAGCTGCCCCGTCTCCCAGCCAACTCCCCAGTTATATATGGAGCATAATGTCATGTGGTATGGAATATCCCTTTGGCCAGTTTGGGTCAGCTGTCCTGGCTGTGTCACCCGCAGCTTCTACGGCACCCCTCGCCTTCTTGTTGGCAGTACAGTGTGAGAAGCTGAGAAGTCCTTGACTGCTTGGCAACAACTAAAACATCAGTGTGTTATCAACAGTATTCTTATCCTAAATCCAAAACACAACACTCTACCAGCTGCTAGGAAGAAAATTAACTATCCCAGCTGAAACCTGGACAACATGTAAGCATACTTTTTGTTCAAAGTCTGAGCAGTCCCAGATTTATTAGTTGCGTGTCCCATTACTACTGCTCTTATCAGGTTTAGGAAAAAGAAAGGTAGAAAATTAAGACCACGAATGTGCTGCTGCTATGTGCTGCTGCTGTGTGCTGTTATTTCATTACCTACACAGGCTGTTCAAAGATTCAAGTCATTCTTTAATATATTATCCTGTTAGACTTCACAATTTGAAGGTTTTAGTTAGGGAATTATCAACTTGGCCTAGTATATTGGTTTCCAATGAAATGCAAAACAGTTCAATTAATATCATATGTCTTTGCTTATGCCTTCTAGAGTCAACTTCTGGAGGTGGGATGGAATAACACTAACAGCGCAAGAACAGATATTGAGAGAAATCTGAATTGTTGTGGATTCAGAGTTTTTGATCTGAATGAAACCTGCTCCTCTGTAAGTTCTTCAAGCATGAAAAATCTTAAAAGTTCATTGTGTTTGTTTGAAGATGTACAACTGTTTTCATAGTTACAGAAAGCAGAGTTTTTTAAGAAAAGTGTAAGGCAGTTGTTACAATGATACTAAGCTCTTCAGTTAACTTACTAGGAGCACAATCACACAGCACCCTGCAAAGATTGTACTCCATTGTCATTTATATACCTGATCTTTTGGAGTCTTTTAAAACTGCTGGAGTTTTGTCCATGGCTCGCAGACTTTTACAGATGTAGCTAGATGCTTTCATTCAATGGTCATCAGAAAATGGAGTGCAATTCTCTGTCTGTATCTGCTACAGGATTGTTTCAGAAGTCGCCAGTGTCAACCATGTGCACCGATAATAGAAGAATATTCTGGAATGGTGCTGAGATTTGTTGGAGGCATAGGACTCTTCTTCAGTTTCACAGAGGTGAGTAGGAAGTTAGAGAATTGAGTGCTTTTCCCTCGATTCTAAGTCTTTGTTTTGTGAAACAATTAATTTTAGGGCGTTTGTTACAGGAGCTCTCAGTACTATCTCAGGAGTCAAATAATTACGCCAAATGTTTCCAGGCTATCAGCTTGCTTAAGTCTGCCAAAGGGAGAGCTTGTCTTTGTTCAGCACTGGGAGTTCTTATAACTTTGTTATTTAGACTACAAACCACAACTAGATACCACATTAAAATGTGGTGCTGTGAAGTTTAAGTTTTGCAGAAAGTTAGCTATTCGGGTTTACCATTCTCCAAAAGTAATAAAAAGAGTGCCATTACTTTACCTTGTTCACGGGTTCTTCCTGCCTCCCTCCACCCATGCACACACACAGTCTTTGGGGTGTTTTGGCTTTGGGATTTTTTTTGTGTGTGTGTGTGCCTCTTGTAGTGCAAAGATACAGTTTCATGATGAGTGAACTGTATTTTAAACATCAGGTTAAAAAGGTCTTCGACCCTTTGCTTTAGTATCCAGATGATACATATACTTGCTTTATTGATGATGACTAAAAATCCTCAGAGCAGGTCTTTCATGACCCCACAGTAGACCATGTGAAAATACTCTTCCTGCTTAGTGCAGTTTTCAGAAGGTTTGTAGATATTACAGCAACAAGAGAGACAGAGCAACTTAAACAGAATCACTCTGACATCTGCCCTCAGTTTCTCTACTAAAAATGTGAGGCTGCTGGGAGGGTGGGGTGGGGAAGGACAGGATTTGAAAATGTATTAGAAAAATAATCTTATAGTTAAGTGGTAACTGTAAAATGAAACAATTTGGAGGATTTGTTTGTCATTACTCTACAAACGGGTTTATAAATATTTATTCTTTGGGGAGGAGGAAGAATAATGCTAGACATGCCTATGAGACATATCTTGCATTGCATTGTGGATACAGTTTTGGCTTTTTTGGTTTGTTCTTTGTTGCTAGGTATGAATTATTTCTGAGAAGGTGAATTATTTTTTCTAATTAAGAAAGTTGGTATGTGGTTGTGCAGCTTTAGCAATAGTAAAATATCCTAAACTTGTGTACTGGAAACTCATTGTCGGGATTTTATGTTTAAAACAAATCTTGTAAAACTGATGAAAGATGGGCTGGAGACCCTCTGCTTAATAATACCTTTGGGTTTTGTTTTCAGATTCTGGGAGTCTGGCTGACATATAGATACCGGAACCAAAAGGATCCCCGTGCAAACCCTAGTGCGTTCCTTTGATAAGTTTATAAAGGACTAAATCATCTCTTTGCACCATCTACTTCAAAATACTGATTCTCCATAATAGGGATTCTACATGTGCCCAAAAGAAAACTTTATTCCCATAAGAAATTTGTAGTTTTCATATTTAATTTTGCACTTTTTTTTCTTTCTAAAAATCTTTATCTTGAAGTAGACTGGTGCATTCAGTAGCTGGGCAGAGCCAGACTGCTGCTCTGAGCTGGTTAAATAACTCTGTTAAAACTTTGGTAATTGATGTAGTGAGCTCTATGCAGTGAGTTTCGTAGCACTACTGGCTTCTCTGGTGTCCAAAAAAACCCAAAAGTATTTTTTGCTGTATTCACTGATTACAATAATGACATGATTTCTCATTAAAATGACAAAAATATATGGTGGATGATGTACTGTATAATCTGATTAGGCTTTAGGATGAACTCTAGTCAGCTTTTTCATCTTTATAATGGCCTCCTACTTTCCTGTTAAGGTAATAATAGAAGCTAAAGATGTTGTTTTCTGTAGTGCACATAAGTGTATGTTAATGACTACTGTAGTCTTCACTTCTCCCCTTCCCTGTTTGTTCTGGCATTCTGGTAGCTTTAGAATTTTGTTGAGAATAAAAATAATTCTTTCCTTTTTAATGGATATCTTCATCATGAGAACAATGAATGAAGAAAACTAGGAGAATGTAATCTGCAGCTGATTAACTTGAAACTTCTTTGACAAGTGAATGAAGTTTGGTATTTGCACATCAGAATCAATAGCGGTCTGTCATCTTTAATATAAGAACCTTGATGTCTGGAAAGTTGTTGTACAGGTATTTTTTCAGATGGTGTAAAATTATTGTTGTAATAATTCAGCAGTGTATATTCCTCTGTCATCCAGTGAAGTCTTGATTTCATGACAGATTGAATGATGGTGTAAAAAAGAAAGTGATGGTTTCCAGTAGTTTGATAAAAAAAAAAAAAAGAAAAGAATTAAAGTTATAACAGTACATTATGCATGTAGTAAGTGTTTTCTGAGCTGAAAGAAAGCATGCTCCCTCTTCCAACCCATAATGGAAGTGACGCATCAGCTGGAACATCAGACATCTAAACACCGGAGGTACATAATATTCCATTTGTTTCTAATCACACTGAATTGCAGACCTGCACCGTACCTTTTCTTCATTCAGTTGCTGCTTCTGGTGTGGTAGGCAGCTGCTGTAGCCTGAAAGACAGCTCTGGAGGAAGAAAAGAGGAAGAGTATCAAGGCCATCAGCCAAGGAATGCAGCAGCTGAGCGAGGTGGAAAGGAAACCAGTGAGGGCAGGCAGAAGTGGGTTCTCATAACAGTCTCCCTTTACTAGGGAGATGCCTCCTTTCTCCTGCAAAGGAGGCAAAAAGAAATTGAAATACATGCCTGTCAGAACACTTTCAGACTTTCATGTATCCAGTGCTCCTAAAGAAGGAATTGTGTCCAGGTTTTGAAGGGGAAGAGTTGAAGCTGAATGCAGAGGGATGTCAAGAACTTGGTACTGATAGCTTCTCTTCAGATGTGGCTGATTCTTCAACATCTGCTCAGCAACATCTCCTGGTGTTTGGTCTGTGAATTGCTGCTTCGTATGTCGAGAAGTATTGGTGGCTGTTTCAAGCACATACTTGTACATTCAGTGCAAGAGCCCACTCATGTACAGAAAGACCTTAAGAGTCTTCAGACTATTACTGAAGTATAATGTAAATGTACACAGCTTTTTTTTTTTCCCCAAGTGCTATCCTGTTTAAGCAACTAACCAGCTGTTCTCAATACATGTCAAGAGGATGGTGATCTTCTCATGGTTGTCTTTAGCAACAGTTAATTTTCCTAGTTTAGACAGGCTCTGTATTTTGTACATTACTGTAATAAATTAAAGGAGAAGTCTTATGGAGAAGGGTGTATGAAACTTAATACCACATTGCTGCTTCAATTTTTACTTTTTTCCTGGTTGATTTTAGTGCTTAGTTTTGGGTGGGTCTGGGTTCATAAATATGGTAAGTGATATTGGAGTGTAAATGTGCATCACTGAGAAAATACTGAAAATGTTACCGCTTCAGCAACTCTCATGTCTTGCAATGTGACTTTGGTTTAGTAGTGAAAAGACAGATCAGTGGATTGTATGGTTTGATTAAAATTTTTCTATCATATTAATAATACTTTGTCTGTTCAAGATTGTGATTTTAAAAAATCCAACCAACACAAACCTTGAAATTCATATCAGAGGTGTGGATTCACTTTCAGAACCTAATGCTTAAGTGGGGCAATGAGTCTGTCTTTGATTTTCGAGAAGAGAGTAGCCTCCCTCAGGAGAGGTCTGACTCACATGTCAGTATACAAGAAATGTACTCTTCTGACATGTTGAAATAGAACATTTGAAAAATTATTTATACCTCTTTTTGGTGGGTTTTGTCTCTGAAGTTTTCTTTGTTCTTTGCTTTGTCTTTCCTCTTGAGAAAATAGTTTTGGTTGCATAAAAATCTTTTTGTTTGTTTCCAGAGAAGTATTTTAATTTTTATCTTCCTGGTTGAGAATTGGACTTAATTGTAACCAGATTTTTTTAGAAGTTATTTGCAGCAGTGGAGTATCAAAATAACAAAGCAGTTCAACTTGGAGTATTCTTCATGCTTACATTAGATGTCTTTTTGACCTTAGTTATATTGAAATGCTTTCTTAAAGTTGGTTAGTCTGGAAGAATGTAGAAAGCTGTCTTGATTTTCTTCAAGACACCTACACACTTTTATCACATAAAAATAACTGGCTATAAAATAATAAAATATAATTCTTCTGCATCTGTGTGAGAAAGTGAGTCTAGATCTTAATTCACATACCACTGTACAGCATCTGCCTCCTTTCACATGAAAGTAACTATTACAAAACCAAAAAGGTTGCAGAACTGGAACTGATACCTGTAAAAATGTACCTTAAAATCTATAGATGACAAGTGAATAGGAATGTGCTAGTGTTACTAGCTTGCATTATTATTTTTAGGTCTAATTATTTAAAGATGGTCCGAATGCTAGTGGAATTTGGAAACCCCATCCATCCTCTATGCTTCAGGTTACTGACCACATGTACTTGAGCAATGATTTCCTAGGTTTTCCAAAAAAAGGGAGAGAGGTCTTTTTTTAGATATCTCAGCTTGGCTTGATGTCTCTGTAAACCTAAATAATTGTATTTAGAGAAGGGGATGAAAAGAGCAGAATTAAGTTGACCATTTATGTATTAAGATTCTTGAAAATTTGTCTAAGATGAAAAGCAAATTACAAAAACATCGGCCTGAGCGCCAAAAATGAACTTCAGTTGCAAAAATTAATCTCTTGATACTTGTAGGCTCAACTAGCTTGTGTATTTGCATCTATAACACGTAGACTACTAGACCCTTGTAGATTATGCCTTATATCCATTTGCTGGATATTGTCCATAGCATCAGTACACCCGCTTAAGAAAATTACGCCACTTCGGTGGCATTACAAAAACAGACTTGTAAAATGTGATGCCACAGGCAGCTTTTATGTCAGATACACAGCTCTAGCAAGTTTACTTTGGGTTGAGTAGATAAAGACGATTCTGATAACCAATCGCTCCAGCCTCCCTCTGTGCTGTCCCTCTGCAAAGTGGTGTAACCACCTTTTTTTTGCTTTTTCTGGCTGATAGTGGCTTATAGAGAATATTTCTGCCCCACTGCGTCCTTTTTTTCCTCTATCTTCTGGCTGCTGCAGTAGAAAGGAACATCTTGCTTAACTGCTGAAGGAATACTCAATTGCATGTCTGGGGCCATTTCCAAGTACTCCTTGAGATTTTCTGGTTGGTAGGGTTCACGGAGCTTGCCAAGGACATAGTAGCAGGTGCCTTGCTTCTAATTTTGCTGAGAAATTCCCTTGAGCTGAAACCCTTGATTCTCTTACCTGTCCTATCCTCCCAAGTGTATTCCTCTCTTCTGGTTCTCATCATGACGGGTAGTGGTAGTAATGTTAATAGTAGTGGTAATAATGGCTGACATTGCCAAAAAGCTGAGAAGATAATGGAGGTATAGTCCTGGGCAGAGTTTTTCTCACTGGTGTTGCTGCTGAGTTCTCCGATGTTTGAGGTTGGAAAGTCTCCTTTTGGCCTAAGTCTTAAAGTGGTGTGTACTCCCATGGTATTCAGTTGCAGGGTTGCTTTTAGTTCTGGCTTCTCTTGTCCCTTTTGGGCTTGTAAATTAGCAATCACAAGCCGTAGCGCAATCATGAAACCAACCACATAACAGTATCCCTTCTATTAATCATCTCAAGGCTTTACTGAACTCTGATGTAAACAGGAATCTTTTCAGGGAAGCGGTTTTTATCTTTTAAAAAAATAATCTTTGAGTAGATAAGGTGATCGTTGTTTCACTTCAGAGTGCAGCCAGTTTGTATGTGGGGCTTTTTTCTTTTTTAAACAATCCCATCTTCTAGTCTCAAGTACTTTTCTGTAAAAGGCTTGCACTTCTTGTTATCTAACTGTAAAGAAAGGGCTGATAATGAGGGCTTGGCATAGGTTGGTGCTATGAGAAAATAAATGGAGATAAAGCAGGCTGAGCAATACAGAGCTTAGCAAGCTGCTGAAATGAGATAAAAAGCTGCTTTCCTCTATTGGATATGGCTGGGCCAGAGTTAATTTTCTTCACAGTAGCTAGTATGGGGCTATGCTTTGGATTCGTGACCAAAATGGTGTTGATAACACAAGGGTGTTTTCTGTGATTGCTGACACACAGAGCCAAGGCCTTTTCTGCTTCTCAGCCCACCCCACCAGCCAGTGGGCTGAGGGGGGCACAAGAAGTTGGGAGGCGACACGGCCGGGACAGCTGACCCCAACTGACCGAAGGGATATCCCGTACCATACGATGTCATGCTCAGCATATAAAGCTGGGGGAAGAGGAAGGAAGGTGGGGACTTTCAGAGTGGTGGTGTTTGTCTTCCCGAGTACCCGTTTCTGCATGCTGGAGCCCTGCTTTCCTGGAGATGGCTGAACACCTGCCTGCCCATGGAAAATGGGGAATGATTTCCTTGTTTTGCTTTGCCTGCATGCGTGGCTTTTGCTTTATCTATTAAACTGTCTTTATCTCAACCCACGGGTTTTCTCACCTTTACCCTTCCAGTTGTTTCCCCCATCCCTCTGGAGGGGAGTGAGCGAGTGGCTGTGTGGGGCTGAGCTGCCAGCTGGGGTTAACCCACCACAGCCCTTTTCTTTCCTAAGTGCTTAGATGTAAAAATGCAAGCTGTGGTCTCAAGTCATTGTACTCTTTCTAATAATGGTAGGTGATAATAAGGAAAAAATACAAAACGCAGCAATATTTTGTATGTAAACACTTTAAATGGATTTATTTTTTAAAAAAATCATTTTTACAGTTGGATCATACAGTATTCTTCTGTACGTCTTAAATTAAAAGCCTCCAGCTTTTAAAAATGCTGCCCAGTACAAAAGTGCTAATGTAAAACTGTAGTGTTTATGTATATAAACCAGCACTATACGTCACTAAATATCACTCTAAATAGTCTCTTCACCAGTGTCAATGAGTGGAGAAGAGATGGAAGATCAGACTTCATAGTATTTAAGGGATTCCTTCTTCCCCTTACAGTTCAGTCTTCAGGAGCTTCAGCGCTTTCTGCATGTTTGAATACACTAGAAATGAAATATTCATAATGTTATTTTTGTTGCAACTTCCTCTGCCAGAGACTGCAAGTACTAGAGAGAAAATGCCATTATTAGTAAAGCTTTTGCTCACACGCCTATTGCTATACAGATTCTGATGCACTGTGCTCTTCCAAGCACCTTGTGAACATCATCTGTTTAACTTTGGTGAGAACATCCATCCGTTAATGCAAACGCATGGGCATTCGCAGGGCAGAGACAGGAGCTGTGCGGGGAGGGGGGAACTGTAGCACACAACTCTTCCCTGCTCCCAGAAGGTTGCCTGACCTGGCCCGGCACGGCTTGTGTGCAGGAGTTCTCACTGTTGCTTACAGTGAATGCTGCTGAATTATGCAAGTTCCTACTGACGTATGCTTTCTTTCCAAATGGATGTTTAAGGCTCTGGGGCTCCGCCATCCTTCTTTTCACCTCACTGAGTTTAAGTCTAGCATCCTATCTAATTTTAATCCTGGTTAACTGTCTTTCAGCAAGTACTGATTGTAAGAGTCTGTAATGCCTGGTGTTATTCCTTGTCATATGAAAAATGTGACTGCTTTCAGAATATTATTTCAGAATATTTCAGAATATGCTACTTACACAATGAAATGTCAGAGGGCTCATATGCATAGAGACGGTTTGAGTATCTTCCAGTAATATCTGCTCTCACAGTCAGGGAAGGATCTGGAAAAAAAGGATGAGAGACATTGTAGAGGACAGGACTAACCTTGAAGCAGAAGGAAATAAACCTTTCTGCACTTCTGCTTGCTTCCTGAATGTTTCTGCAAGGCAAGTCTGTTCCACTAACAACCAAGAGATCATTCTTCTACACAGTCATTGACATTTATGTCTTGTGTTTGCAGGTTTATTAAGAATGGGATAGGTTTCATTCTGATTAATGTTGATCAGCCTCCCACCCTGTGCCACTGCATAGTGCCTAAATTAAGTCTACAAGCTGAGACAGCTTTCAGGCCACAAACATTGTTAAAAAAGAAATAATAAAGGAAGAGATAATGTAACAGGTCCTTTGGTCTGTTGAAAATGGTCATCATGACCTAAATTTATCAAGGTACGTGTTAACGATACATGTGCGCAGTATATAAGGTTTCATATCTGTTCTGGGAATACCTGGATGCATGCACGGCCACTCATCGGTCTCCAAAATGCAAATGCTTATGAGGGGTTGTGCATGTTGGTAGACCGTGGACCTGAGTACTGAGCTTCAAAAATTGGCCCCTGAAACATTCGGGGGCCCTGCTGTTCCTGCGACATCTGAAATTGTGTTCCAAACAGAAACCTGACGGGTGACAGTATTTTTAGAGATAGGAGGATGAGCAAGGCTGAGCCAGTGCCTAGCCATTCCAGTGACTGGGGCATCATGTCACTTCAGTGACACAATGGAAGAAGTGACATCATTTGTGGAATCAACAAGGGAGCAATGCTGGATCTGTGAAGCTGATGACCTGCCTGGGGTTGCTTTGAGATTTCATCCAACAGAGTCAACTACAAATTTTATATTTGTCATTGAATAAATTCCTGTTAATAAGACTGAGGATTTGAGATGCATGGTGCAGCAGGGGCTTTGGTCTGAGATCAGCTTTGATGCTTGAGATACTCACCTATGAACAAAATCCGAGGGACGTACTGGCCATCAGGTGAAAGATTCTTGTCTGTGGTTTCATACTAAAAGAAAACAGATAAGGTTCCCAGTCAAGATTGCAGGAGGGCATGTTACATGATTTTTTTTTTCTTTGTACTTTGTGTAATGAAATAGAGCTTAAATAACATATTGTGCAGTTTAAGAAATTTACTGTCTGGGATGCAATCTTTTAACAGCTGGAGTTGCAAATTGATAGCAACAGTTAATGTTATTATTAAACTTTAAATTCCCTGATATTTTGAGGTTATGATAGCTACAGGTGAAAGAGACTTATTACTAAATCTATTATGCTTCAGAACTAGCCGTTTTTCTTAGCCAACCCTATCGATTAAACCTATTAAAGCTAGAGAAGCCATAATTAAAAATAGAACTTTATTGCTTTTTCTTAATGAAGTGCAACTGGGAAACTTACCACAAGGTTCAGGAGAATGAATTTTTCAGCCAATTTCTGTATGTCTTTATGTTCAGCAAAGACCTTTTTGAGGGCTAAAGAGAAACAAATGGGAATGGAAGTTAAAAATACGCTCCTGAAATATATTGTCCTTGAAAAACAAATTCCAATAAGCTGATAGAATCAAAATGAGAATTCCCAGTTTACAATTACAGCAAATAAAGATTTTAAGGTCATTGCGCTGGAAGATGATCAACTTGTTGATGTTCTGTGGTAAAGAGTAATTACAATACTACAAAATATCCCTCCTTCCTTCAGATAGAGCAGCTCACTCTCTAATTTGTCTGCTTAAGTTTGAATTTGAGCATTTGACCCTTCAAACCTCCTGTTCTGCTACTGTGATTTCTGGCTCCAGTTCTTAAGGCAGTGACAATACAGCGTGCAGGTCTTCAGCCTGAAATGTTTGAAAACATTTCTCACTACTCCTGGTTTTGTTTTTTGTTTTTAGCTGATTGTGATACAAACCAAAACCAGATTTGTCACAGGCCAAAACCTGCTGACCTCTGCTCATTTCTGTATCATGTAATACTGAATTAACTTTTTAATTTTTCTTCTGCACATTGGAAAATGCCTATGTGGGACAGCGACTTGAAGAACACTCCTCTGCATGCTTGAGCAAGTTAGTGTTTCACTAAGGCTTACTCAGCAAGCAGAATGGTGGCTGGTTTGGATTTTTTAAAAGCAAAACCTGAAAACCAGCTGAATTTCCCCCCCCAGTGCAAAGGGCTTAATTACCTTGGCTGTGCGGGCAGTCGTCCAAGTGGTGGATAATCATCAGGGGTTTGTTGCTGGAACAGAAGAGACATGGTCAGGGGCCGGGGAGGC